CTATTAAATCCCCCAAAGACATGGAAAACATGCTGGAAGATTTCTTTTTTAAAAGTAGTATAAGTTGAGATAGTCTAGGTTCAAAACCAATGCTTATGTTTATAAAATATCAGCATTCCAGGAATAGTGGTGGAAAGATACTTAACAATAAATTACAAATATTGTAAATTTAGACTTTTTCTTACATTTGCAAACAGGTCATAAATTTGGGCTATGTTTCTTTGTATAAATCCTACTTATGACTGTGCTAAAACCTTTTGGCATGAATACAAAGAGTGTTTTCATAAATAAAACTTAGCAAAATCACTGTACACTCCATTAATTCAAAAACACTTCTCTTCAACTTCAAAGGAAATTTCCTTCCTCTTTTTTTTTTTAAAAAGTGTAAAGATGGTGTTTCTTTGCTACTTTAATGTTTGGTTTCTTGTATTTGTCATAACTACATGTTCCAAGTATGTAACCATGAGGGACAAGAAGTTAAGCAATATTTTTGCTTCCATTCAACATGTCTCAGACACCGTATAGGAAAAAGCTTGTAAATCTAACCTCTGAAGTAGCTGCCACCAAAAAAATACTCTCTATAAATACAAATCTTACAAATATATACATGGCGAGTTTCATCACCCTACACCAGGGTTCAGCTGTAATTAATGAATGAATTTTATGAAAAGATATATGAAATTTTTATTATCAAAGTTTGATACATGTATGTACTTGCCTCACCCACCTTTGAGACATAATAATACTACTTGTTACCACTTTAGTTTGTGCCTATCATGTGGCAAGCACTCCTCATGAGTTATAGTCTCATCAAAACTCATTACAATTCATAATAGCTGTGAAGTAGATATTATTAGTGAGATTTTATACATGAGGAAACTGAAGCTTCAAGAAGTGATGTAATTTGCTGTAGCTAACAAAGTTTCTAAGTAGAGAAGCAGGGATTCTAATTCAGGTCTGATTTCAAAGCTCAGGCTTTTTCCATTACAAAACATTAACTTGAACAACCATTTTAAAAATCAGTTCACTATTCTACGTACTTTATGCCCAGATGCATAAAGCAATGTATGCGTTAATACACTAGGTCTCATGACAGAGATTAAAGAATAATGTTACATTTTTAATTAATCTCTACATAGGTTTCTTTTGCTTTTACCTTTGCATCATGGAGAATTTTAAACATGTATAAAAGTAGACAAAACAGTGTAATAAACTCCCATACATAAATCATCCAGCTTCAACAAGTGTCAATTTACAGTCAACCTTATCTATACTCACCCTGCTTCTTTCTTGCCTCCCATATTACTTGTCAGACATTATATCTTTAAATATCACAGCATGCCTCTCTCTAAAATAAAGAACTCTTTAAAAAAATTAACCATAATACCACTGCCACACTGAAAAAAAAAGGTAGTTTTCTAATAACATAAAATGACCAATGTTCAAATTTCTAATTCTCTCATAGTTGTCATTTTTTATATAGTTTGCTTGACTCAAAATGCACATAAAGTCCATACATTCATTGGTAAACCTCGTAAATCTTTTAATTTACCATTAACACGGCTTTACAATTTCCTTACTCACTTAACACTATTTGTTTTTGCCAGGCTATATTTTTATTTGTTTGCTTGTTTGTGTGTTTTGAGACAGGGTCTCGTTCTATCTCCTAGGCTGAAGTGCAGTGGTGCAATCTCGGCTCACTGCAGTCTCAGTCTGCTGGGCTTAGGTGAACCTCCCACCTCAGCATTCCAAGCAGCTAGGACCGCAGGCCTATACCACCATGCCCAGCTAATTTTGTTTTTTTGTAGACTCAGAGTCTCACCATGTTGCCCAGATTGATCTCAAACTTCTGGGCTCAAGTGATCTACCTGCCCTCAGCCTCCACAGGCATAAGCCACCGTGCCTGGCCTGCCAGGCTATATTATTTGGCATCAATTTACTATGACCTGAATGTAGGCTTGCCAAATCTCATCTCAAATGAGATTTTTAAGCTTCACAAAGTAGAATTTGTTCATATGGAAATATATTGAATAATTTTCTCAGAAACCCTTTACACCTTCCATAGAGATACTCAAAGAATCTTTAAGCCGGCAAGAGATTCCACTGGCCCATGTTTACCACCATAACAAATGTAATGTGAGTGACCACTGAACAAAAAAGAAAATTTATGAAATATAATATTCCCATTGTCTTACCTAGATTTTTATTTAAATATTATGTCATTTGTTTTAGACTTTGGGCCTATTGTGGGAAATTCAATCTAATTCAATGAATTTTTTTATAGCAATAAATTTTGAAATATAAACATTATACCTTGTAATCAAATCTTTGATTTAAAAAACCGTCATTAACTCATTTTATAAAAGGGGAAACTGAAGTAAATGAAGGAAATCAGTTTGCTCAACAACTTTAAGTAATATTGTCGTCAAATCTAAGGACAACATTGATATCATTGTTTAGACAGCCAATTGATATCACCTTTTAGATATTGATTACTGAAATGATAAAAATTCCATGGCAAAAATTCTAATGGCTTTTCTGTGTAACTTTAAGTAAAAAATTAAGTAGAAAAAAAAATTAAGCAGGACATGAATTATCAAAGCAATATTATGTCTTATTGTCAAGTAAAAATAAAAAGCCTTTTTCATGTTCTCCAATTATGTTTAAGCTCATTAAAAGTGCCCTTCCATTTATATCTCCTCTACATTAAAGTAATATATTCTTTGGATCATGTTTTATTTTCTCTATTTCCTTTTTGAAATAAACATCATTCAGGAAGTTGACAGTGGACCAATAAGAAAACCTAGGTGGAAATGTGAGAGAAAGAATTACCACTAATGTACCATTATTATAAATAGAAACTACTGGCTTTTTTTCACTATGTCCAGATTACTACTAATCCTCAACAACACTTGCAATGAAACAGTGAAAAACAGTCATGAAGAGTATGGGCTCTCGACCTCTGGAGATAATGGGTTTCTTATTGGGGCGATGAAACATCCTGATATTAGAGAGTAGTGATGGTTGCACAACTTGTACTATACTATACTATACTATACTATGCTAAATACCATTAACTGTACCCTTTAAAGGGGTAAATTTTATGGTATGTGAATTATATCTCAATAAGGCTGCTAATTTTTTTTTTTTTTAGACAGTTTCACTCTTGTTGCCCAGACTGGAGTGCAAAGGCACAATCTCAGCTCACTGCAACCTCTGCCTCCCAGGTTCAAGTGATTCTCTTGCCTCAGCCTCCCAAGTAGCTGGGACTACAGGCATGTACCACTATGCCCGGCTAATTTTTTGTATGTAGTAAAGACGGGTTTCACCATGTTGGTCAGGCTGGTCTCAAACTCCTGACCTCAGGAGATCCACCCACCTTGGCCTCCCAAAGTGCTAGGATTATAGGCATGAGCCACCACGCCTGGCCAAGGCTGCTATTTTTTAAATGTGTGCTACTAAAAGGATTTACAAATTGTGGGTCTTTTATAATTAAAGACTGTTTTCCTTCCAGGCACCAGACCTGGTTTAGTTCAAATAGCTTGAAGAACCCAAGTGTGTATTTAGGCAGATGCAGAGTTAATAAAATTCATCCCATCATCTTCTTGTACATAGGGTCCTGTCACAGATAAAAATGCTCAGAAAGTTTGGGGCCACCATTTCAATTCTTTCTCGCTCCCATCCCAACACCACCCAGTCTTCCAGGGCTTTTAAGATTATTCTGCTAGTTGTTCTCTTTCTTACTTATTTCTAATCTTTTCACAATCTTAAATTGTCCTGTTGTGCCTTGTCTAGACCAGTTACTGCTCCCACCCATCCCACCAGCTTCTGAAGTGCATAATCAGCTAAGGTCTGATCAAAAGGGCAAGGTAAAAGGTACCCTCCCACTCACTGCCCCCTCAAAAAATATCTGTGAGAAGGCATGAGACTGGGGGCTAGGGCATGAGTTTTTCTATTTCACCTTTCCTTATATTTACTTCCAAATGCACAAAGATTTTGCCACATATATTTAATCAATGTCAAGAGGCAAATACAGTTTTCTGTTCTAAATAAACTATTTTCACTTGTCTCCTTGGCTGCTCTGCCTCTGTCCTCTTTCCAAGAGAGAAAGGGTGTGTAGAAGCTGCTTTGTGTTGAAAGATGACTGCAGTGCCACCATTATAAGAATCTAGTAAGCTGTGCCCTTTGTCTTTTTTAGTCCCATATAGTCTCTTGTGTTAAGCTCCAAAATTATTTTCTCTTCTCAACCTATTACTATACTGCATCCCCGACACTAATTCTTTATTTTTCCTTTAGGTAATTAATTCTACCCTCACAGTTCCATTCATTTCTGCCAGTTCACAATCATGTTCTTCCCCCTGTGGATTTTGGTTAACATCTGTTAAACCCTGAACTATAGGGCCATCCCCTGAATAGTGTATTTCACATTTTGCAAAGCAAACTGCCAAATTATTACATAAAATTATCTACTGCTCAATGTATGTTTTCAGCTATAAATGCTTTAGAACAGTGAGATATGTAGTAACGGCACATCACATTATGTAAAATAGAATAAGTCCTCTGGCTTTAATTTACAAGAGTCAAGAAGCTTTGAAAATAAGATATTTTTATTTATTAAAGACAGCTTTAAAAGAAAGCTTTATAAAAACTTGAAATACACTAAAAGTATGAGCTAGAAAAATAACAATTTTAATAAAACTATTATAATCACTCACAAAATAATTTATTTAAAACATTACTGTTTACTAAGGTTGGATACAGTGACAACATTAAGAGAATAAAAAGTACTTTAAAGTTTACAATTGGTTAAGAAAGTTTTAGAGCAAAATAGTTTATAAAGCTATTTGTAAGTTTGATCTAAAACTCTGTGATTCTCTGGGAAAATAAAGCCCCTCCATTTACAATAAATTAAAATAATTAATATTCAGGTTGATGTTTCTGACATTCTCAACCAGAGTACTAAAAAGAAGGAAGGCAAATACTTTAAAAGACATCCCCTCAAACAGTTTGAATTAAAAAAAAAAAAATTCAATTCTGAACCTTTTAAAAATGTGTTTTAATCCTGGATTTTTTTTTTTTAATTTTGCACACAGCTGTCTGTAGTACTTTTCAGAATCATGCCAGATGCTGGGTTCATCAAGCAAAAGCAGGAAAACAATGGTTTGAAAGCAATTAGAAGCACTGAGGCTGCAGCGAGGCTCATATTAAAATGTGATAACACTGTTCTAGTGGGAATTTCAACACTGCTCCATTTCTGACATTTCTCTGCTGCCAGACAGGCAGGCTGTGTGGAAGGGCACTGTGATCGAGGAGGTAACATACTGGAATTTATTTCTGGAGCAAATGAAGGATTAGCTGAGTTGGAACCCTCCCAAGGTTTTTATTATGGACTCGGCTACCATTTTATTTGAATGCCACTGGATCCTGTTTGCACCTAACAAAGCTCAAGGAATAAAAGCATATTATAGCTTTGATTTTATAAAATAATATAGCAAAAATCCACGCAGAAGGTAGAAGCACAGAGCCTCTTGTTGCTAAAAAGCAGGGCAGGGGGGCACAGCAGGGTGAAGGTTAATTAAACACTCCACTAACTTTCCTTGGAAATGGCTAATGCCACTCTGTGGAGAAGTTTGTAGAGAAGAGACAGAAGTAAACAATCCCATTTACACATTTTTAGCATAAAATCATACGTGGTCAAAGAGGACTCACCTTGGGGTTGAAAATCCCAGTAGTACCTGAAATACAAGGAAAAAAGGAGGATAAGTCAAAGTTGTATTTCTCCATTTTGGTTGGCTTACCATAGCTATAGTACCTGGTCCAAAAAGCTTGCTAATGTCTATAACCAGCCAAAGACACTACTCACTTTGAGAAAAACAAAATGTTGTCCCTAAGATTTGAAAGAGTCTCAATGGCTTAAAAGATGCATTTAATTCACTGCACTTCCTCAGATAATTTTGATATTAGAGCTGAAAAGGTCCTAAAGGGAACCCAGCAGTGGCTTGGGGTTTCTCATCAAGAGCTCTACAGGCTTTCAGCAGGATGTTTTTTTGTTGTGACAATCTGGCCTGTGTATTATAGGACCATTAGCATCACTGGTCCTGGACACCAAACACCAGAGGCACTCCCAGTTGTTACAACAGTCAAACCCCACCACCAACACCAACACATCCTGAAATGCCTCTTAAGCCTAATTTTTTTCTTCTCTGTTACCCAGGATGGAGTACAGTGACACAATCATAGCTCACTGCAGCCTCGAACTCTTGGGCTTTGCCTCTTAAGCCTAAATTCTTAATTTTATAAGTGAAACATAACACTCTACTTAAGGTTGTCTAACATTTTCCTGTCTGAGCCAAGGATGGGGCTCTTGCAGTCCACTGTACCTTCCTATCTCCTCTATTATTTTGGGAAATGATTGGCAAAACTGACAACCTTTGAAGTCTTTTTTTTTTTTTTTTT